TAAAAACCCATTGTGCAGGGAGATTGGTAAAATATTGGGGACGTTAAGATGAGAGTCATTTATTTTCAAATGAGAATCATTTACAATTTTTATTTTTGTAATTATAAAGTATATAACACTATTGTGGAGAATCTTGATATAAAATATGAGAAAAGTTTAACCATATGGTTGAGAACTTGGCAACTTAGACATTGATTTTCAGAAAAAAGAAAATCTAAGTTTTTTTAATACATAAATACATATATTTTCGATTTATGTTTGTCATATTTTCTAATTTATCAGATGTTTTTAAAATGACAAAAAGACTTAATATTTCATTGGGAATAATACATAAATTGACAAACTATTTGCTTTTATGTGTTGAATTTTGTTATTAGGAAAAAAACCAAAGGCGAAGGTGAAAATGCTGAAAATAAGGATTGGTCGACTCTTCTTCCTGAGCTTTTGATATTAATTATGTCTCGCCTCATTGTGAAAGATAACATTTGTGCTTCTGCGGTTTGCAAAGCGTGGTATAAATCTGGTGTCTCTATTCAGAAGAAGAATAGACATTTATGGTTTATGAAATACCCACTAAATTCAAGAATCAAAAGGCCATGTGAGTTATACGATCCTTCTCAAGATATGACATACATTAAGGAGTTTCCTGAAATAGCATGCATGGGAATTTACTACTCAAAAGATGGTTGGTTGCTTATGCATAAAGATGGTTCATCTGAGATGTTCTTCTTTAATCCATTTACTCGTAAGCTCATCGGTCTACCTACTTGTAGCTATAACGAATGCGCTATTTTCACTTGCGCACCTACATCTGATAATTGTTTGGTTTTCGGGTTGACGAACATCGACTTCAACAACAATATAGTCGCGGTCAAGACTTTTAAGGTCGGCGAAACCGAATGGAAGACGTATCGTTTCATGAGTCCTGAATGTTTCTTCGCTAATTACGACAAAGTTATCTTCTCAGGAGGTCTCTTTTATTGTCTTGGTGGATTTGGTTCGTTAGCGGTTTTCGATCCATCCAACGAAACTTGGAACCCTCATTGCCTAAAATATTACAAAGGCTTCAAACTTTCGGCAGCATCATGGTTTGGAATTTATTTTGTAGAGATCAAAGGAGATATTTTTCTCCTAAAAACTTTGGGTGGTGAGAAGCCGCAGTTGTTTCAACTTAACCGTGATGGAGGTTGGATATGGGAAGAGAAAGACAGATTTGAAGAGGGGTTAACGATTTTTGGAGCTTCTCTTGCATCCGAGTTTAAATCAGACCTCCCAAATGACATGAAGGATAAACTATTTTTATCTCACTCACATCATCCAAAGATTAATACTTATTTCTTTGGTGAAGGTAAGTATCAACCGGGTACTTCATGTATTCCAGCTTGGGATAGGAAAACTGAGTTTCAAACCATTTGGATTGAGTCACCAAAACAATGCTTAGATTTTATCTAAATCATGCATTTGATGAAGATAATGGTTTCATCATCGTATCGAAGAAAAAAACCCAAAGACTTCTGCATGAGAACCTTTCCTTTCCTTTTAATTTCATTTTCATGTTTTTGTGTTTGATTTACATTTTGTTTTAAATGGTTTGTTCGGTTGTGCTTCTGTTATCTTTATAATGTGATATATTATCAATGTTTAATTTATGGTTAACCCAAAAACTTGGTAATTTTCTTCTCGTTAAAATTTAGCAAATATTTTATGATGAATATACTCTAAAATTGCATGGTATAATCTGATATAATGAAAATAAAAATAATGATAAAATGATATCATGAATAAACATTATATATAGGCTAATTAGTTGTGAAAGAGATCGCAAGCATTCCAATAAAACTCGAAGAGGAACCAATAAACTCTGTTTACAAAAGACTAATTAGACCAAAAGGGTTTGGTAGGTTAAAAATCCTTGGTCAATATGCTAATTTTGCTAACTAATTAAAATTTGAAATATAACTAATGAGAATGGGTACTTATGATAAAAACAAAACTTTTAATACTTATCTCTTTGATAATGAATAGTATCTCCCATGTATTAGTCAAATGATTGATTCATATAAATCTAAGAATTTTCTTCAAAGCAATGGTAAAATCAATAAAGTTTTGCAAAGTAATCTTCTTCAAATGATTGATCCAAATGCATTGAAAAATGGTCTTTCCATCCCAAAGTAGGACAGATGATTATTATCCATGCATCATATAGCAAGAGAAGTCATATAGATTGTTCTTTGTATTAAGTATATGTTGTCTTATTGATATATGATCCATCAATCATCACTCTC